TGTGTGCATGTGTACATGCATGTGTTCGCATGTGCTTGTGTGTGCCTGCACTTGTGTTCATGTGTCCTGTGCATGTGTGCATGTGTACATGCATGTGTTTGCGTTATGTCGTGCGTATGCATGTGTACATGCATGTGTTTGTGTGTGCATGTGTGTACATGCATGCGTTCGTGTCACGTGCATGCATGCATGTGTGTTCGCGTGTGTAGTGCATGTGTTCATGCGTCCATGTGTGTACATGCATGTTTTTGCATTGTCACGTGCATGTGTGTATGTGTGTGCATGTATGTGTGTTCATGTGTGCATGTGTGTACATGCATGTTTGCATGTGTGTTCGTGTGTGTTTATGTGCACGTGTGTGCATGCATGTGTTGGCATGTGTGCATGTGTCATTCATGTGTGTGCCCATGTATGTTCATGTGTGCGTGTGTACATGTGTGTGTGCTTGTGTGTGCATGTGTGTACGTGCATGTGTTTGCATGTGTCCATGTGCACATGTGTACCTGTATGTGTGTGCATGTGCACGTGTGTGCATGCATGTGTGTGTGTTCATGTGTGCATGCACCTATGCTCGTTGCATACATGCATGTGTGTGACACAAGAAATGTCTTCCCGGCCTGTCTGTGGGCACCTGACAGCTCTCAGGAGCTGGACACTTGCTCTGGTCGTCACACAGTCCTCCCTGTGCAAAAATGGGCACATTTTGATGAGATGTTCGCATTTACATTAAATTCTTCACCCTGTCTGCTGCTGAGATGCATTTGCACTGCAATAGCCCAGAGAGAGTTTCTAACCCCAATATTCCCCTCATTCCACAGAAGGGTATGCTGAGCCCCAAGCTGAGGGGCAGTGGCGTGTTCCAGGTCTAAGGTCACAGGAGGGCCAGAGGCGGCACTGGAGCAGATGTCTCCCTCTGCCAGGCCACTCAGGAGACTGGCAGGGTCTCAGGGCTGGAACTGAGGGACCCCACTGCCCCTCAGAGATGGCGTGTTGGAGGCACAGGCTTGCAGCATTTGTGCAGCCCCTGCAGTCTCTTATAGGGTTGGCAATGCTGCTCACTGCATGCCAGGCACCGCTAAGCCATTACAAGCATTATGACATTGAATCCTCAGAACAACTAGGAGGAGGGTCTATCATTATCCCCGTTTTGGAGCTGGAGAAACTGAGGCTCTGAGAGGTGAGGTGAGGCAGCCTACATTTTCGGAATGCATGGATGGCAGAGGTGGGATTGTCTATGGCTCTAAAGTGCACCTTCACCATTCACCACACTGCTCCCTGTGGTGAGGGGCAGAGAAAGCCCTGCTCCCTTGCATACTCCAAAGATGGGGAAGTACATTCAGCTTTGTCCCTGATGCCCTGAGTGTCGCATCAGCGAGTTCAGGGACCACTTGCAGTGGCCAGGAGCAGCAGGGTGGGGTGGAGGGCCTAGGATGGAGCAACCACAAAATGCGATTCAAAATGTCCCCAAGAATCTTCCTCCTCTATTCCACAGATGAGGAAACGGGCTCAGGGAGGGTCAGGAACTTGTAAAGGACAAGGATGGTCCCCAGCTGGGCCTGAGCAACTCTGGCGATTTCTACTGTGTGATGAGTAGCAGACAGCCTGGGTCTGCCCCTCCCTGGTTGAATGACCCTGGGATCACTCCTTACCTACCCAGAACCTCAGTTTTCCCATCTGTAAAATGGTGATCAAAATGGCACAACCGGCTGGGTGTGGTGGCTCACACCTGTAATCCCAGCACGTTCGGAGGCCGAGGCAGGGGAACATGAGGTCAGGAGTTCAAGACCGGTCTGGCCAACATAGTGAAACCCCATCTCTATTAAAAATACAAAAAATTAGCCAGGTGTGGAGGTGTGCACCAGTAATCCCAGCTACTTGGGGTGCTGAGGCAGAAGAATTGTATGAACCCAGGAGGCGGAGGTTGCAGTGAGCTGAGATCGTGCCATTGCACTCCAAACCAATCGTGCCATTGCACTACAAAAAAAAAAAAAAAAAAAAAAAAAAAAAAAGTATGACCTACATAGGATGGAAGTGAGGATGACGTGAGCTAACACTGGCCAGCACCTCGAAGGCTTGGTGCAGGGGAGCCCTGGATGAAGTCTTGCATGTAAAGCGTGTTTTGCAGCCGTGAGCGCCTCCGCTTGGATCTAGGCCTCTTCCACGGCCGTTTTCTTTCTGCCCCCACCCCACAGCTGTGTGGGGTCAAATCCTTAGCAGATGCCACATTCCCCCCTTTCTCTCTCTCTTTTTATTTGCCCATCTTCCCAGTGCATGGGACCCGGAGGAGCAGTGAGTGGGCTCTTATGGGCCTTCCAGCCCCCAACCCCTATGCCTGGCACCTCTGCAGCCCCAGCCCCTGCACGCATAGTAAGAGAGGGTGCCAGGGACCAGGGCATGCCACCTGTGCAGCCACACACAGGAAATTCTTATTAATTTTTGAACATTTTCATTTCTCACTGGATCTCGTTGGACCCGGGTTCTGACCTAGACACAGCCAGACGGGAGAAACACAACCCCTGTCTCTCTGGGTCTCTCACTGTCTGTCTCTGTATCTCCCTGGGAATGTCTCTATATCTCTCTGTGTCTCTCACTGTCTCTGTGTCTCTCTCTGGGTATCTCCTTGTCTCTGTCTCTCTGGGTCTCTCACTGTCTCTTGGGGTCTCTCAGTCTCTGTCTCTCTGTGTCTCTTACTGTCTGTGTCTCTCTCTGTGTCTCTCACTGTCTCTGGGTCTCTCTCTGGGTGTCTCCCTATCTCTGTCTCTGGATCTCTCACTGTCTCTCCTTACCTCTCTATGTCTCTCACTGTCTCTGTGTGTCTCTCTGTATCTCTGTCTCTCTGTGTCTCTCACTGTGTGTCTCTCTGTATCTCTCACTGTCTTTTTGTATCTCTTGATGTCTGTCTCTCATTGTCTCTCTATGTCTCTCATTGTCTTTGGGTCTCTTTCTGGGCCTCTTACTATCTCTCCGTATCTCCCTCTGGGCCTCTGCCAGGGTCTCAGTGTCTCTCTGGATCTCACTGTCTCTCTGTATATCTCTCTTTGGGTCTCACTGTCTATCTGGATCTCACTGTCTCTCTGTATCTCTCTCTGGGTCTCACTGTCTCTCTGTATCTCTCTCTGGGTCTCACTGTCTCTCTGTATCTCTCTCTGGGTCTCA